GACCAGAAGTCTGTCAGAAGTCTCATGTCATCCTCTCGTAGTTTAGCTCACAACATGGCAGCTGGCTTCCTTCTGAGCAAGCGTGCCGGAGGAGGAAGGCATAATCTTTTAATAATATCATCCTGGGTGTGCCATCTCATCACTTCTGCCTCATTCTAGTCAATAGAAACAAGTTGCTAAACCCAGTCTTCCCTGGGTGACATGAATACCTGGGAAAAGGAATCAAGAACCATTAGAAGTGAGACCACAAGGAGCTGTGGTCTCTAAGCATGGTGGACTATAAACGGATGAGAAATTATTGTCCAGATTGAGCAGAGCCACTTGAGACTTAATTTGTTAGTACAATCCAGTTGTGCTTTCTATAAGGATAAGGAGTAATTGAATAACTAGGAACTCTCTCTCTCCCCACCCCCTCTCCCCTCATCATCTGTCTATCCGTGGTGCCATGTGGCCCTAGCTAACCTGGCTAATTGGGCCCTCTGGCTGCTCATGCTGGGACTAAGTTTCAACTACAGGGGCAAAGACATTATCTGTGTGCACCCATATGTGCTCATTTTCCGTGTCTGCATCTTGGGTACTACTCTTCCATGGGCCCGGAGACCCTGGGGTTCACCTTTCCCTGCTCCCCCGCTCTGCCCTTTGTTGGGAGGTCACGTGTGAGGAAACAAGCCCCACGTGGTTTTAATCATTTTGCTATAAAAGCTGAGCTGCTCTCCGCTTTGATCCAGGCTGAGCTGCTGGAGGAAGGGCTGGGGGCCGGGCTGGCCTGTCCACGGAGCGCTCTGCACGCTGCTCCCACATCAGACGGCAGCTGTAAAAAGGAGCACAGCTCATTAATTCTCCCTCTTAACCAGGGCACCTGACAAGAAGTGACTTTGAAAACCCGGAGGACGGATGGGCGGGCGGGTGGGCGGCTCTTGGGCCATGCAAGGAACATCTGTTTCCAGGTCCCTGGCTGTTAAATTGACATCTTTTTATTTGAAACATTTCTTTTATTTCTCAACTTCCTGCAATTGGCAAGGTCTCTGTGCCAGGGAGTACACTGTCATGCCTCAGTGGGCCATCTGAGCTGAGTGGCCTCCCTGTCCTGCAAGACAGGTCTGTAAGTGCCAAAGCGGGCAGCTTGGCACTCTGTCAATTATTAAACCTATGTTTGTGCAGAGAACATCAAACCCCATAAAAAACCAAAATGGCCTTGAAATTGAAAACCCTGTGAACGTCTGTGAGCCTCCATATGAGAAATATTAGCGTTTCAGAACTAGAAAATTCACTGGGAGCCTGGTATTTTCCATCAAGTCTCCTCTCCTTGGGACCCGGCAATCAAGTTTCCTTAAAAAGAACGCTGCAGCCCCTGTGCTGCAGTCTTCTTTCTGGATGCTGAGATAACTATTGGCGACCAACGATCCAGGTTTACTCTTTAACCTTGACCTGGCAAAGGTCACTAGCAAAGACTATGTTGCCTATTTTCAAGGTGAGAGCTCAGAGAATGGGGGATGGAAAATGGATGATCCTATTAATCTCTACTTTGTCCTGAAGGCCTTTGGGTCATCTTATATTCCTGGCAAATCTGAGGCTTGTGCTCTATCCTTTAGCCTCAGGATCCATCCTTGGCCAAGTGGATCGCTGTTAGCAGGACAGACAGCAGTCAGTCAACATTGGAGAAATAATGGCATTGCTGATACCCAAAGGATCATCGAGAGAGAACTGCATCTCATATACCCTTTGGTGTGCCCAAGTGTGTGTGTGTATGTGTGTGTGTGTGTGCGTGCATGCATGTGTGGTCCCAGGAGATATGAGCCTGAATGTTGGTACATCTGTGTGAAAGCATCAGTACCATGATGTGTATGCTTCTGATGTGAATAGATGAGTGCATATGTATCTGTATCAGAAAGTGTTTCTCCATGTTAAGGTGCATAAGGGGCTGCTGGGGCTGAAGTGATGGTACATCTGTGTGATGTGCAGGAGTATGAGAACTTCCTCATTTTCATGTTTTCTGGAAGTGCGGAGATGTTCTTGTTGGTTCTGCTTTACCAGTGACTCTGGATTTCCCATCCTCAACACTTTGAGGCCCCATTAAGACAGTAAGCTCTTGAGTCCAATTATCAGGATTGGAATCCTGGATCCATCTCTTTCTAGTCACATGACTTTGGGCAAGTTGCTTAATCTCCTTGTACCCCGGTTTCCTTATCTGTAAAAGGAGAGTAAGATATCAATAGTACCAGACTGAAAAAGCCTATAGTAGCCTCTTGTTACCACAGTCAAATATGCAGAGCACTATGAAATTACCTGGCACAGAGGAAGCATTTGGTTAGATATCACCAGCCACATCCATTTTCATATTGCTCACTCCCACAGCTCATTGCAAATTCCATACTTTCATTGTGCCTTCTAGTTTTCCATTCTCTCTCTCTCTTTATCACATCATCAACCCCATCATCTTAGTTACCCCAGTCCCACTGTCACTGCCATTGCACACTATCCTGCCAATTCAGGTCACCACATAAGGGAATTTACAGAAGGGTGAAACTAGCAGGGTGTGCCCCTGCCAAGTTGGGTCACGTGGGTGGCAGAACAGAGTATAAGTGCTCCTTGGTTTCTCAGCTACTTGTGTGGAGAACAAGAACAGGTGAGTGGAAGCAGAAAGGAGCTACTCAAATCGGCCCTTGCAGCTTGTTCCCTTCCCCCCCCTCCTTGGGCTTGGGGTGAGGTGGGACACCCCAGGGCAAGGCCTGTTGTCTGCTCACCACTAGCTTGGGACTATCCAAGAAAAAAGTCCACGTCTTGGTCACTTTGGCTTTCCCATTCTAATTTGAATATATTAAAATGCAACCTTCCAGCTGTGCAAATCCCCAGACCACTGAAATAAAAGGTTTTTAACTTTAACCATTAAAGATTTAACTAGCCAATAAATCTAAGTATGTGGGGGGTTGTTACCAAACATTTATTACATTGCTCTTGCTTTTAACTTCAGAACAAATGCCAAGTATGGACTTCCAGGAAAAAGACATCCCCTTATGGTCAAAACTGATGTTAGACCCCATCCAAAAAAGCAAGAGATTCCTGTCTCCAGAAGGGTCCACTCACTTTCCTCCCAAATCCCTTCTGGAGTTAAAAAGGCTATATCAATTTTACAAACCAATTTGCTTGCTGCAAAAAATGCCTATAATAGCCTCTTGTTACCACGGTCGAAACATGACTGACTAAATTAATCCAAAAGTCTACTTTCAGTTTGAGCATTTTGGCGCCGACTTTTCCAGAACCAGATTTTATAAAGGCACAAAGGGGATATAGCTGTAGTGAAGAAAATCACAAGGTCTTTCTCTTTTTGTATCTTCTCAGTGAGTTGGGTCATCGGTGTCTTGGATCATAGTGCTTGCTTTTGCCATTTTTACGTTTAAGGCAAGTGAGATATCTGCTAGCAGTGAAATATTGCTTTTCATTTACACAAATGTAAATGAACAGAGCTTAACATATTCATCCTGGACTTAGAAAAATGAATAGAAGCCAGATAAATCTTGGCTATTAAAAAAAAAAAAAAAAGATCTGACATACATGTTGAGTTATACCAGCCAACACCGGGACAGAGCCACATTCCAGATGTGCTATTTTCCTGCCCATTGACAGTTCTCCAACCTACCCCAGCAGTTAAAAAGTCCTGACGTGGATTTTTAAATCTGGCTTAGACTCCTTTTTGCCCAAAAGGCCTGCTGCGTGGGTCCTCTGGGTTTCACATCTCACAGAATAAACCGGTGAGCCCTGTTTGTGGGAAATACACAGTAAATCTTGGCTTTTGCTCACAAAACTTCCCTCTGGAGCATTTTTCACATCTAAATAGGAGGTGAATAAAGTTGATAAGCAGTTGTTTTTGAAAAAAGTGATTTTACTTTTGGCTTGGCAAGTTTAAGCTCAAGTTTCTCAGCTCTGTGAGACTTACTCTCTGCTCCCTAAATTGTAAGGGAGTAGAATGACAATAATAAAACATAATTTTCCATGGCTGGCCCAAATTGCAGGGGACACTCACCTCTGCCTTTTGACTGGCAAACCCTCCACATCTCCCTGACGTCAGCAGAGGCAGGCATATTGGCTGATTCGAAAGTTCTTCTGCACAATGGCTCTCCATCTGCATCCACCCTCTGTATTCTCAGCCCAGAAGGAAGCATGAATCCCAGGGCCCTGAGGTGTACAAGCATTTCCTCTGAGGGTCCCAGCGGTGTTCTTCGATACTGATGTGGTAGGGAAGCCTAAGCTCCATATATTTTAAAACCTCTCAGATGGACTGGGTGGTAGAAGCAAGAGAGAAATTATTTTCAAAGCAAACTGGAACAGATGGGAAACACTGGCTGGTTTGCTAGGAATCTCTCTCAAGTCTAGGAGGCAAATTCTGAAACTCCAAAGCCCTGTTTCAACCTCAGAAATCGGAAGAAATGTCACCACCTCTTGGGACTGGGGTGGGCTGTTGCCTTCCTAGGCTTCTAAATAACAAGGATCTTCAATCCTTGTTGCGGTGGGGTATCATCTTGGTGTTCTTGGAAAAGAGATACCCTATTTCATTCTAGGAGAATGACAGTTGCTTGGAAGATGTTCATTTCTTTAATTCATTTATCCATTCATGCCAGCTCATCCATTCATTCCATAAATATGGCCGGATGCCTTCTGTGTATTTCTCTGCCAGGTATTTGATTTAGGGTTGTAGACAGAATGGGACCCAATGCCTGGTAGGCATTGGGTCCTCTGGGAAGAAGAGTGAGTGAACCTTGACTTTATGTTTAAGGCTGACTGTGACCCACCTCTGGATGTTCAAACACAGGTGAGTCTTGTACACATGAGAGATAGATCAGTCTTTACACGCGGCTTTCATCGTGTCCCTAGAGCTCCTCATTGTGCTATTTTAGATTCCCTTCCCTCCATAACCCCCAACTCCATCACCTCCTCCACATTCAGTTTCCACCTAAAGAAGGGAGACAATGTCGACTATCTTCCTGGCTGCCTCCCTAGCCCTTTGCTCCTCCCAGTACCCTTCCATGGCTTATCCTAGTCCAGTTGTCTAAACCGAGCCCTCCTATTCCTTTCACCCTCTGCTCCCACCTTCAGCCAAAATCCCCCTGCCACAAAATTCCCATCTCTTGCCTCTGTTCAATGTTTCTTGCCTACCAGCTCTTCCGAGGCTCATCTGCACCATTTGCCTTCGCCTCCCAGGCTCTCCATGGGCTGCAAACTTGGACCTGCGGAAGGGCACAGACTCCATCTGCACAGGCGGAGACCATTCCCCCTCTGCCAGGACATCACCCAAAATATGTTTCCTTGTTTCTTCTTTTCCCCTTTCCCTTCTGAAAATAGCCACTTAAAAGGCTGAAATGCGCTTCATGTGCTTTAAGGGGTTTATTAGTTTTAAAAACCATGTTCTCTGTTTGGAGGGAGGGGAAACAGCCGCCTTCTTTTCACATTACGTCAATCCACAGGCGTCTGTAATTTACATTTTTTTAACTCAAATGTTCAGAAATAATGGAAAGGCTGCTTGAAAAAAGCAGATGAAATAAAAGCTGGGGGAAATGTGTATTATACAAAAACCAGACCTGTGAGCCTGAGGCGAGACACCCGGATGACCTGGGGAGCTGATTAATGAGGCAAGCCAAAGGAAGCCCAGGTGAGGGCGGACGCCATGGCTTCTTCACAGTCACTGACGGGCTGGTGCTGCCATTTCATTTCCCATGCACTACTTCACGGATGGTTTTCATTGGGAAATTTCTGTCCTAGGAGAAAAGAATCCTGAGAGCTGGATGTTGGGCAGGTGGGGCAGCATGGAAGAAAGGAGTTGGGAGAAAGGGGCCCTCCCCAGCCTGTCTCCCATTCTCTCGGTTATTCGAGGCAATCTTTCTGAGCCAGCCTCACCCTATTAGGCCCATTGTTTGTTCCCTTTTCCTTCTTCATTCTCTGAGAAAAAGAAGATGACGGTCCAATGATGAGACCTTAGAAAGACATTATTTTATGACCATCCTCTAATATAGTCACTTCATTCAATAAATCAATTCATTAAAATAAAACCCCCAACTCCTTGTTACAAGTCAAATATCTGTTTATAAAATAATTTAAGCTATTGTTGCATATGGTTTTTCTAGGTAATACGTCTTGGAATGCCATGCCATTTAACAGTCCTTTGATAAATACTTCAAGAGCTTACCGTCTACAAAGTAGGGGGTTAGATACCGGGAGACCAAAGCAGACAAGGTGTTTGCTTCGATGTTGTCAGAGGCCATAGGTTGGTTAAGCCCACAATGTAGGGTGAAGAGGTCTCTGAGAGCAGAGGTACCAGGCATTGCAGTAACACCTGTGGGCCTGGAGGGCCAGGGATTAGGGACTAGAAAGCTTCCTGGGGGAAGTGACTTTAGGTACCTCAGAAGTAGTAGGAATTAGTTAGGGAAAGAGTATTTGGACGGGTCTCCAGGCAGAGGGGAGACTGCACTCAAGGGTCCAGAGGCAGAGGACACTGAGAATGTAAATTCTGTTGCATGGAGGACCAGTGACTGGCCTGAGATGGACCTGGGGGGAATGAATCTGTGTGTGTGTGTGTTATTTACCAATGCAAGCTCTTTCCAAGGCACTTAGACTTCATTCTGTGGGCAATGGAAGCCTTTGAAGGGTTTCAATAGGAGAGTTTACATCTCAGAAACACTTCCAAACAGTGTCACAAGTGACCTTAGAAACTGTTTAGTCCTGCTCTCTTTTTAGATGATGAAATTGAGGCCTAGAGAAGGAAATACCTCTCCTCCTCTTACTATCATTATTACCAGCTGGTATTTGAGAGCTTATAGACACCGCACTGTGCTAACAGATTTCCCTGCCTCTACTCGCTCATCTGTACAAACATCACTCTGCGGGGGTGGGGTGGGGGGGTGGGGGTGTGTGTGGGGGGGTGGGGACTATAAATAACATCCCCATTTTACAGATGAGGAGAGTGAGGCCTGGAGATAGGAAGAAACTTGTGTAAGGTCACTCAGCTATGGAATGTCAAAGTCTCTATTTGAAAAAGGTCTGTTTGGTTTTACAGTCTTAATGGTACACTCTGCTTTTCCAAGGTTCCATAACTAATGGCAAGTCTTGAATCTAAACCCAGGCATCCTGACACCAGTCTGTCCCAGTGGGCTAGCTGCTCATAGCATGTATCAGGTTCTCCTGCCATCTTCTTTGTTTTTTAAAATTTATCAGCTGTTTACATAACAGTATAATATGGGGGGGGGTATGACTTGACCCCTCCATGGGGCAACAGAACTCATGCTGTCTTCACCTGCCTCAGTTGGCCATGTCTCTGCTTTGTGTCTCTAAATATGCCCTCTTATATCCCATTCTTATCTCTCCTTATATGTATATCAGGAAGATATAATGTCAGTGGATAAACTCAGTATTCCAGTGAGAGCAAGAACTGAACAAAAGCTGGGGTGGGGAGAAGTTCCGAGCAGTGGCTTAAGCATCTTTGTGGGCTTCCCATTCTATTGGCATAAGTACACTTGTGTGCAGCAGGGCTAACCCTTTCTTGCCCCAGTTGGTGACCTGGACTGTCCCTCTTAAGGTCAGCAGCCCTCAGGACGAGGACCTCCCAGGGCTGGTCATTGTAGGGCCAGCTGTCTCTGGCCAGGGCTGTCATCTTCAGGTTCTATGGGGTTCCTGGCTGCCAGGTCTGAGGAAGTCCCAGACACTTGTCATTGCTTCCCAACTAATGACCTCCTGGCCTGGCCACATCTCAGCTAATTTCTGCAATTAGGGAAGCTTGTTTTCAGAGGCTGAAACAGGAACTTTTCTGAATTAGCTTTTATGGTTCAGAGCCTTTAATTTGAGATTTAAAAAACATCATAGCTCGCCAAAACCAAATAAACTGCAGCTAATGAAATTCACAGAAGTGCTCAGAGAATGCTTCTCACTGCTGCTCCTGCATGATTTATTGACAGCTGGTTGTAAAAACAATCTTATTAAAGGTCATAATGTTGGGTAAAAAAAAAAAAACCCTTTAATTTATAGCATAATTAGGCTTTCTCCAATAGCTCGGCCGCTAGGGCTGTCACTTAGGGCTCCGAGGAAGCACTTGGTGTTTTTCATTATATCACAGCGAAGGAGATCCATGCTCCTCCAGGGTCCACTGACTTTCTCTTTATGGCCCTTTTATTGCTGCTAAAATAGTCAAAACAGGGGGTTGATTAGAGCCCACTGATGCCTACTGATTATGGGAACACCTCTTGAGGGGGGAGGAAGAAAAGGTGGGAGGGAGTTTAGGACTTTAGGGTGTACCTTTGACAGAAAGGAATAGACTGTGAAACTTGCCTGGGAAGTGTGACTGAGCTTCCCAGCTCTTCCCCAGACACTTGTGGATTGAGGGCTGACCCCAGGCAGGCGGGGCTGGGGTGATAAAAGGCATGTGGAAGGTGCTAATGCCTTAAGGAAGAAGACAATCCCAGGACAGGATGTGTATGGGAATAAGAACCTTAAAAATGCTAATGGGTCCCTAGGTGGACCACAAGCTTGAAGCCTGATGGTGAGGGAAGGGAGGGGGGATGGCGGGCAAAGAGTAAAAGGTCTTGCCCGTGCTGGCCCTGCAGAATGAACTGGAAACTGAATGCTTTGGTATTATGGTGGGGGCGGGGAAGGCAGGCAGGATCTGTGCTTCCTTTCCCATAAGTGCCAGGCACTGTGCTCTGGAAACAGGGCTTGCTTGTGCAGGGGTGCTCCTGGGAGGTGTGGGGGCAACACCCAATGTCGTCACAGCTTGTGGAATGGGTGATGATAGTCAAATCTGACCAGCGACTTCCCCCTGCCCCAAACCCTCTTTTCCTTTCCAAATCTGAGTGTGTGTTAGTGATGTGGGAGGTGACCTGGGACCATTGACACCTTTGCAAAAGGTGCCAGGGCACAGAGGAGGGAAGGCATCTGCTTTGCCTGGCACACAGGAGATGATCAGTACCTGTTTTCTGAATGGACAGCTGCCTCCCATAGCAGTGCAGGGAATAGAATCGGATTTGTCAGCATCACCTGTGGCCTTGGTTTCTTTTCAAGAGGGCAGGAGTTTGTTCTCCTAGATGTTAGTAACTGAACCTGCAGGGTAAAAGGATAAATTCTTGAAATAACTAAGTGCTAGTAACATCCTGCCCCTTGAAGTGACCGTAACTCAAGTGAAGGGGTTGTAGTTAATTTGAATTCACTTTTACAAAATTTTTATACTTTCTGAATTTTCTTTAAATTTTTGAATCAGAAAAAGAAGTTATTTAAAGAAAAATCTGGCTTTTCTATGCAAACTCTGCTTAAGGGGATGAAACTTGCTTGGAGTGCTGGGATCTGGACCCTGGGATTCCTGCAGACCCCTCACCCCATTGGCCTGCCTGGACTTGCCATCCATGCTCCTGCCATCCTGCTCTGGGGCTTGTATCTGAGCCATTGTTATTTGTCTTTCCCCCCTTGATTGACAGTCCATTCTGGAGTCACATTTCCAGATGACCTCTACCTTCCCGGATAGAGCCCTACTCTGGGACTTCCCTTGGGGCTTCACTCTGCAACCCAGCCTTCACTGCTACACACTTTTTAAAAATCCACTTTTTCCCTTTGGATTTTCCTGAATTCTCTTTTTTTTTTAGAAACTGGCAACTATTCATTATCTAGAAATTGAAGATAATCCCATTTCCTGATGACTCTTGGCAGCCCAGGATTGGGGGGAGAAGGGTTTCTTAAGAACTTTCATCCCAGTCTGATGTTTGCTGAGGAAATCATTAAAAAGGCTCCATTTCTCAGCTAGAGGCTTCCAAGATCTGGTCCTTTCCAAATAGATTTCTTATTAAATCTTTCAACAATGATGACAGTCTCCTGTCAGATTTTTAAACCCAAAGGACAATTTTGTTCAAGGCAAAATTTTTTTTTAAAAGATTTATTTATTTATGCATACAAGAACTGGGGAACAGGCCAGAAGTGTGGGGGATGAGAGGATTCACCAGAGACAGAGCGGGGAGCAGAACAGGTGGACTGACTGAAATACACTGCTGAGGAGAGCAGTGGGGGAGTCAGGAGTCAGGAGAGCAGTGCACCATGTGGGTAGCTCCCTGGCTTGGCTAGGGATGGACTCATGCTGCAGTAGCTGTGGATCGCTTCATAGTGCTGGGTCCTGACCCCTTGTGCTAGGGAGGCCCTGAAAGCACATTTCAAGCTACAAATGGCACTTAGCTTTTGGCCAGTCATCACATTGTGGGGCAGTGGCAAGTCTCTCCCCAGGGATCATTCCTTCCACCTGTCCTTTGACTTAGGATGAAGTTGGAGGTGGAGATAGAGTCAGGCTGAGGTGGTATAGAATTTATGGAGTTGAAGTATGTTGGAGTCATTTTCGTTATATTATTTAGTGTTGATGTTGGGTCGGAAGAGGTCTGGGCTGGGCATGAAATGGTGGTAGTGTTAGCACACAGGGTGAGGAGCAAGTGGGATTTGGCTTTAGGTTGGATCAGGGCTTTATACAGGGCTGGGTTACTGTGTAGTTGCTTGTGGTGCCATGTCAGTGTTGGCTCATTGTTGGGGACCCTCCAGCATACGTCAGTTTTTATGCTTCTTGGCACCAAGCCTTTGACCCAGGCATGCAATTTTGGGCTGAATGAGATAAATACATATTGTTTTCCTTCTGGGATTGAGGCAACTCTAGGCACTCCAAGGCACCCTCTTGGGAAGTCTGGTGGGACCCACCATTGGGGTTTCTGTCTTCAGATTTCTCTGAAGGCAGGAGGGTGAGTAAAAGACATGGGCCCTGATGTTTGTTCTGCACTGCTAGTTGGATAGAACTGTGGTCAGGTTCTGAGGCAACCTCTTTCCAGAAATAAATACCACCGGATTGTGTACCTTCTGTCTGACTGACTGCTTTCTTCTTATTTGAAGCACTTTGAAGAAGTACCTGGGAATGGCAATAAACCACTTCCATTTTGTGCCCCCAGAAGGAGACAGGTGGGCAGCATTCCAGAGCCTTTCTGGGCATTTCTGTGAAAGGGTAATGATAAAGAACCCACATGCTCCCCAAGTCCAGGGCCTGGTTACCCACAGACATCATCATAGGCCTGAAAGCTGTCCCTTTTCCTTTTGCTCTTGCCAAGGCCACCATATCCCACATTCTAGTCATGCTCACAATACTCTAAAAATCAGCCTCTACGTAACTTTGCTCATGCTTTCCATCAGCCTCGAAGGCCTATGCCTATGCCTCTTTCCTCCATGAGCCTAGAGAGTCTACTCATCTTCCAACAGTCAACTCTTGTGACATTGTGTTGCACTTATCTGTTTATGGATTAAATGCAAGGATGGCATCTTATTCATGCCATCTCCCGAGAATTTTGCTCGGGGCCTAGAAGAAAGTGGACACCAAATCAATGTTTGTTAAAGAAAAATGAGTAGGAAAGGCCAGTCCGTGGACTGAGGGTGTTATGATATAGAGATAATTTTATTAAGACTGAGGGTATTTTGGGGCCTCCCTGGTGACACAAGGGGTGAAGCACAGCATTATGAAGCAATCCACAGCCACTGCAGCACAAGTTCAATTCCCAGGGAGCAATCCTCAGGGAGCAATCCACATGGCACAGCAGACCTCTCCTGACCTGCCTGCTGCTCCCCTAAGCAGTGTATTTTGGTCATTCTGTCTGTTCTGTTTGTTCCCCTCTCTGTCTCTGGTGAATCCTCTCACCCCCCACACCTCTAGTCTGTACCCCAGTTCTTATATGCATAAATATATAAATCTTAAAAAAAAAAATAAGGCCATTTTATACAGCACCCTCAACTCCTACATACTTCAAAAATCTCCATGAATTTTTAATTTGTTCCCTTCTTTCCCTAAATTGAAATCACTGAATCTACAAGTAACTATAGCTAGGTGCTCTGGGGATGCAACACTCAAAGCATAGAGCAGAGTTGAAAGTTTAAAACACCTCCTCAATGTCACTGACAAATGGAACAGATATAGAGAGGGAGTCATTTCTGTTTTCCCTAGTGGTACACTTGGTTTTCAGACAAAATTTGACTCCTATAGTTTTTTGGTTTTAGTAGTCAAATCTACATCCTTAGCATGTCCAGAAACTGTTCTAGGCTTTTTGAATAGATTAACTCATTGCATCCTCCCAACAACCCTGTGAAATAAGTACAATATTTATCCCCATTTCACAGATGACAAAACTGAGGCCCAGCGATAAAAAAATAATTTTGCAAGGTTCTCACAGTTGGTGTATGGTGGAGCAAGGGTCCAAAACCAGATTGTGTGACCCCAATTTCATATTCTTGTTATTCATCTCTATAGCTTCCTAAAATGTCTCTCAAATTCATGACTTATTTTCCTTCCTCATGGGTACTTCCATCACTTAAGCCCCCAGTTTTTGCACTTCTTTCCTCATGGGCTCCCTAGCCAAATACCGTCCCTTCTTCCTTCCTGAATACTTCAGCCAGGGTGACCTTGTGAACAGAAAAGCATCCCTTCTCTGAACCCCTTCTGAGGTTTGTAGGACACAACTTTGCACCCATGCTACAAATAACTAGAATTCTTGTCTTTAAAGTTTTATGTGTATGACTCCCAATGAATCACTTAGTCATATAGATAATATTTATATTTCTTGCTTATCTGACATAAGATTTCTGTTTCTTTCAGCCCTTGCCTTACTCCCCTCACTGTTTGCTTTTGCCCTGGTATCATTCTGTTTCTCCTTACAAGTTCTTACAAGCAACTTACAAGTTCTGTGATTAAGTGTAGAAAGGACTTGTAGAACAATGTGTATAATTTCTTACCAAATGTATAAAAGTGGATAATTTATATATATATATATGCATGCATGTCTATATGTATGTGTGACTGCAGCTATATATTTTATTGTCTCTACAGTGTACATGTAACTGTATGCTAGTATACTCAAATATTGTAGGAAATAAGAATTCAGCTACAGGGGGCATCCCTGGTGGTGCAGGGGTTAAAGACACAGTGCTATCAAGCTATTGCCAGCCACTGCAGCACAAATTTGATCCCCAGACAGGGAGCTAGCCCACATGGCACAGCAGACCTTTCCTGTCTTGCCCGCTGCTCCCTTCAGCAGTGTATTTCAGTAGATCTCCCTGTTCTGCTCCCCATTCTGCCTCTGGTGAATCCTCTCACCCCAGTTCTTTTATGCATAAATAAAATAAATCTTAAAAAAAAAATTCAGCTACAGTGATGGCTACTGGAGGAGTCGCATCCACCACACCTTTTTTGTGCTGTTGGGCTTTCTATACCATGGACACTTACTCCCTTGCTTTCTTTAGAGCTCCCAGGTGAATTTGATGATCATCATATATCTCACTGGAGGAGAGTGAGCTCAGAGTTTGGAGCCAAACAGATTGCTCAAGTTTCCTTCCCGAGAGTCAATAATCTCCATCTTCTCTTTCTTCCTGCCTTGGTTTAGCTTCAGAATCTCAGAATCAGCTTGTCATGCACAATTTCTGCCCTCTGCTTGGGGCCCCTACAGTAAGCCATGAGCCAGACACCCCCTCTGATGCTGTGGGTGGGGCAACCCCACGTGCTGGCCACCAGCCCCTTCCGTCCTGCCTCAGGGTGATCTATGGCTTGTCAGAGGTGTGGGTTCTCACCACTTGCTGAATAGAAAGCTTCTTTGTTCTTGGGAGTGAAAATAGCCCTAAGATAAATGTTGAGGCTGGAAGAGCCCAGGGAATGTTGGGCTCCAACTGTCCAGAGACTCCTCCTTGGAGCAGAAGGGCTGAGGTTGAGCAAAAGAGGGACAGTTTCCCAAGGAAAGGTTTTGGCACAGGTCCACTGGGGACTGCGAGCTGTGGCCCTGGGAGGTGGTCATGACTCATCTCAAATGTAGCATAGCTCATGACACCTGCCTTAAACCTGCTTCCATGTTCAGGAACCTGCTGTCAATGCTTGTGAACTTCCTATCCCTCACTACTTATGGGTTATGACATGACCAGCTTTCCTTTCTATCCCTCCTCA